AAAGATCAGTAAGGGTCACCTGTAGCCTGAGGTCAGACTTAACAAGGTGTCCAAGAGATTTTCCCCAGGGGAAAGAGGAGTTTTCATCAGCTCTAGCCTTGTTGCATGCTTAACTGAGGGCTTTCCAGGTTCCAGGAACGCTTTTTGATAAATGTCTTTTATTTTCTTTGAGCAGTTTTGGGTTCATAGCAAAACTGAGAGGAAGGTACAGGGATTTCCCCCATGTGCCACCTGCTCCCAGACATACCAAGCCTCCTCCATCATCAGCATTCTCACCAGAAGGGGACATTTGCTGCAGTCCCTGACTTCACATTGAACCTGTATGACAAATCCTCATCACCCAAAGTTCATGGTTTTCATCAGGATTCACTTTCAAATTAGACAGAGCATGGGTTTAGACAGATTCTCTGACATGTATCTACCCATACCAGAATACCTTTTAACTCAAGGTTAGTACTCTGTTTACTACAGCATGCAAAATCTTAAAGTCATTTGTGCATTCACAGAACTGTATGGCATTCATCCAAAAAGCCCAGGTAGAATTCAAAATAAGGACAGGACTAACCCTCCTCAAAGTGAGGCATAAGTATGTCCTGAATATTGTTTTCCTTGTCCCTTGCAATATTTGGGGTTATTTTAATTTAAAAGTATTCACTTCCTGAAATTCAGATCTAACTGGACTTCTCTGAGAAACAAAGCCTATGGCACCCACAGAATCAAAAAGTCTGAAGAGAAGGAAATATTTTTTGAGAATCTAGAAAATATTTTAGGATAGAAAAGGACACTAAAGTGCTAACTCTGGTGGTGTGAGCTTATGTAGCTTGTAAGAATTAAAGAGACTCTCTACCAGAAACATGGCTCTGTATAACTCAAATGTTCTCCCATTGATTTGTATCAGTGTGGTAACATCTCATCCTTTGTGCTCACTCTTCAGTTGGTTGTGAATTGTTCTGAACTTCAGTGTTCTCAGACTCCTACATCAAGTCAGGAATTCTTGAACAGAGCCAGGGACCCCAGGATGTGAGAATCCTATTATAAACTGAAGAGTTGATGCTGTTGTAGTTTTGGAACTCAAAGACTTTTTGTGTCTTAACTAATCATCTCTAACATATCTGTTGTAGCAGTTCAGTTTTCTCTAGAAGTATCTTTTTTTAAAAGGCACATCTTTTTAAAAAATTTCGTATAATTATTTATTTAAAGACATCACAAACAGCATTAAACAGTTCATTTTATTAAAAAAAATAGTTTGTCTCTTTGGATCATTTGATTTAAAGGTTTCTTTTTTAAAATTTTTTAAGGAAGCCTCCTCCTAAAGCAAGTTGAATTAAAAAGCAGTCCAGGGGCCCAGCGCGATAGTATAATGTTTAAAGTCCTCATTATGAACACGCCAGAATCCCATATGGATATCGGTTCGTATCCCGGTGGCCCTGCTTCCCATCCAGCTCCTTGCTTGTGGCCTGGGAAAACAGTCGAGGACAGCCCAAAGCGTTGGGACCCTGCACCCATGTGGAAGACCCAGGAGAGCTCCTGATTACTAGCTTTGGATTGGCTCAGCTCCAGCCGTTGCAGCCACTTGGGAAGTGAACCATCGGAGAGAAAATCTTCCTTTCTGTCTCTCCTCCTCTCTGTATATCTGCCTTTCCAATAAAAGTAAATAAACCTTACAAAAAAAAAAAAAGAAAAGAAAAAGAAAGAAAGCAGTTCAAAGAAAATGACAGTTCAAAGTTTTCTCCTATTGGCCCAGTCCCCTCTCCCAAATGGAACCTGAGTGCACTGAAAGTAATGGGAAATGACAATGCCACTCAGGGCATCATAAGCTCTCTAATGTGATGCATAGGCAGGCTGTTCAATCTGTAGCCTTTCATTTTCTCACAAAATGAGCCTCAACTGATTCCTTGAAAAATTCCAAATTCTTTTCCCTTCCTAAAGTGACTTGATTCATTCAGCAAACACTTTTAGAGGCCCCAGAGAACAATTCCTACTCTGAGAACTTGTGGTCCATCAGTGAACCATTCAGACCGAGTTCCTGCCTCTTTTCATTGGCATTTGATCAGAAAAAGACAAGTAACAAAGGCAGAAATAAGTGGGGCCACGTGTTGGGCTATAGTAAGCATGTGGGGGTAGGCAGCAGGGCAGGGGGTTCTGGATTAGGAGTTGAGGGAGTGCATTTTAAACAGGGAGGTCAGGGTGAGGCTTGTTGGTGTCTGCACTGGAGCAGAGACCAGGAAACATGGGAGTGGTCCCTGGTGCTCTGGATAAGCAGAGATCAAGGCTGAACAGACACAAAGGCCCGCGTCCCTGGCTGTGTCTGAGCTGTACTTCTCAATCCAGATTATTCTATCCCTAAAGGATATTTGGCAATTTCTGGAGACACTTTGGCTTGTGGTGACGAAGATGAGGGTGCTACTGGCAGGTGCTGGTAGGGGCCAGCATTGCTGCTAACCATCCTGTAGTGTGCACAGGGCAGTCTAGCCCCAATACCAGCTGGGTTGAACTTGAGAAACCAGGACAACAGGAGGGAGAGTAGGAAGAGAAGCAGGAGGGGAGGACAGAGGTAAGTAACAAGGTGGAGGAAACAGAAGTGGCCAGGTTAGACAGGGCATATGGACCTCAGCTTTTACTGGAGGAAACATGGGGAGCATTGCAGATTTTTGAGTGTTGGGGAGGACATGACCTGAGCTCAGAGTTTAAGAGTATTCCCCTGGCTGCTGAGTGGAAAATAGATCACATTAGAGCAGAGGATGAAGATGGAAGGCGGAAGATCAGGTCGGGGCTATTGTAGTTACATAGGCAAGAGATGATGAGGCTTTAGCCAAGGCCAAAATAGGTTTATGACCTCTACAAATGGAATTTTCCAATGTTAAATTTCTACTACCAAGCAATGAAGCAATCTAGGATTGCAGTCCTCAACCTTTCCATTATATATTATCCACTCACATACATAGCAGGCTGCTTCAAAGGGTTTATGGAGAAATGGAATCAAGCAATAAGTTTAGAAGTACTGTTTGGGATTCCCACATCTCACACTAGAGGATCTGCGTTCAAGCCCCAGATTCCATGTTCCTGCTAACTGCATACCCTGGCAGGCAGCAGGAAGTGAATCTAGGAGCTGGCTCCTGTCCACTCCTGTGCTAGTTCTCTATGGAGTTCCTGACTGCCAGCTTTCACCCCAGTCCAGGCCTGGTCACTAAATGCTTTCAATGATGGGAATTCTATCTCTGTCTCTCTTTTTAAAAATAAGATTAAAAAAATAAGCCTGCTTTTGTATCCCAAATTTTGAAATTCATCTAATATACATTTATATGAACTTGCCCCCTCATACGTACATATATGGGATATGTGCATGTTTGTGAGCTTAAGTATACATGTAGATATCTATTACATGCACATACATAGGGTTAAGTTGCCTTAGCTAGGTTTTCTTACATATTAGGATACCTGATGTGATTTATTAATTAGGTTTGTTTGACATTGGTTATATATTATTTATATTTTATTTTAACACAGACTTGGGGGGGGAACCACCTTTATTCTTGCTAACAACCCTTTTGAGATACATATTTCTAAACCACTCAGAACCCAAAACAAAGTAAATTAATTGAAAATATGATAAAAGAAGCATAATAGCTTACTACCTAGCAAATAGGAGTTTGAATTTCTTTCTTCTTTTAAAAATCCATTAAGCTGTTCCCAGCAGTGGTCTTCTACTCAACCAAAGCAAACAGCTGCTGAGACATGACAGGAAATAGCAAGAGACTGCTACTTTGTTCTTGTACCCATGAGTCTCAGATGATGGACCACCCCCTCGTTGTTACTCTAAGGTGCCTTCCTGGAGTACGCATCTCTTGTCCTGTTTTTTGCAGCCAGACAGTGGGACCATGTGGCAGCCCACATGTGTCCCCACTCTCAAGTCTGGGGGCCATCCAGCCACAAACAGTGGTTCTACTTGTTTGTGGCTGTGAGTCACTGAAAGCCGTTGGAAGGGCCAATGTTGTGGTACTTGGAACTCCCACAGCACATGACAGAGCACTGATTCCAGTCCTGGCTGCTCTGACTGGCAGAGCCCTGGCAGGTGTAGGGCATGTGGGAATTGAACCAGTAGATGGAAAGTTACTCTCTGTGTGTCTTTTCCTTTCTCTGTGTCACTTTTAAGTAAGTAAATAAGTCAATTTTTGGAAAAAAAATAATAAATGCTGTTGGAAGGAACCACTATCCTTTTTCATTAGAGTCAAGCTGTTTCAGTGAAGTGGCAGGTTCATCTCGTTGTTAGTAAGGGACCAGTTGTTTTGCTTTTTCTTCACTTTTTTTCAGGAAGTTCTGGAAAAGCATGGAATGCATGAGCTCTCCCTGAGTTCTGTGGAGATGGCTCTTGCATCACATAATCATGTGGCATCACAGTTTCAGTAGACTACTCCGTATTCCAGATGAAAGCAGCCAAGTTGGGAGCCTTTAGCCTTTGCCCCCTCTAACACCATATTTCTCAAAGCTTAGACCTTGAATATCAGAATTCCTTGAGGGCTTATTAAAAATTGCAGATTCTTTGGTCCCTCCTTAGACCAAGTGAGTTGGGGTATCTCAGGGCAAAGCCGGGAAATTGCATTGCAGTGAATCTTCTGGGGCATTCCACACATTGAGGTGTGAGAACCACCACTCTCAGCTACATGAGCAAGCCCAGATTTCAGCCCTAAAGGATGGGCCTGCTCACAGCAGCCTCTCTGTAGACTTGTTACAAATGACAGGTACACAGCTAAAGATTTGTTTTCCACAGGGTAATATGTCAACCACCGCATGAGTCTGCAAAGCACTGCATGGAACATTTCGGTCCCTATCTGGTGGGAACAGGGTAGAAGGGGACAGTTACAGTAGTCACGTAGCTCAACTGGCTGACAGTTTTGCTGTGGGTCCCATCGTGGCTGACTCTCAGGGCACCTTGTTCTCGAAGCCTGCCTGGCATGATCACTATGATCTCATGTGACATTTTCTCTTTTCTCCTTAAACAGCAAATATGCCAGAGAATTATCCTGATCAGTTTGACGATGTCATGGATTTCATTCAAGCCACCATTAGGAGACTGAAAAGGTCACCAGATAAACAAATGGCAGTGCTTCCTAGAAGAGAGCGGAATCGGCAGGCTACAGCTGCCAACCCCGAAACTTCCAGAGGAAAAGGTCGGAGAGGCCAGAGGGGCAAAAATCGGGGTTGTGTCTTAACTGCAATACACTTAAATGTCACTGACTTAGGTTTGGGCTATGAAACCAAGGAGGAACTGATTTTTAGGTACTGCAGTGGCTCTTGTGATGCCGCTGAGACAATGTATGACAAAATACTCAAAAACTTATCCAAAAGTAAAAGGCTGGTGAGCGACAAGGCAGGTCAGGCATGTTGCAGACCCATCGCCTTTGATGATGACCTGTCATTCTTGGACGATAACCTGGTTTACCATATTCTAAGAAAGCATTCCGCTAAAAGGTGTGGATGTATCTGACTCTGGCTCCAGAGACTGCTGCGTATTGCATTCCTGCTACAGTGTAAAGAAAGGGACCAAGGTTCCCAGGAAATGTTTGCCCAGAATGGAAGAAGAGGACCAAGAAGGAGGAGGAGAAGGAAGATATGGATGAAGAAGAAGAAGGCAGCAGGCATGGGAGCCTGGTAGAGGAAGATCCAGCCACAGAAAACTGGACAGAAGAGAAAGAGAGAACAAAAGGCTGTCAGGACTCTCCAGGATGGCCAACCATGTCAACAGAAGCTCGGGGCTGGCGTCCCTGGCTGCCTGTGGCGTCATCCACTGTCACCAGTCGCCAGTGCAGGTGCGGATGTGCTCAGAGGACCACACTCGTGTATCTCTTGTGGTTTGCATTCATGTGTCAAGAGACACTGGGGAGCCCATCCACCTGAGGTCCACCCTTTGTCATCACGTTTTCCTGCTCAAAGTCAGAAAGGAGCATTTTCCTATCACTCAGGGATGATATCCCCTGGAAAGGAGAGGTGGGAAACGATTGGAGGAGCAATAGTAGTAGCCTTTGAATTGGAAAGGTGAGGCCTGGGGTTTAGTATTACCAGCATTATGGGGGGATAACAGTTGGTGGTTGACCCTGAACATGGTGCACAGGGTGGGAAGAAATTGTTTAGGAATCCAAAAGGCTGTCCTCATGATTTCAAACACACCTGAGAGCATTTCCTTTCTGTCCTTGGAAACAGAAGAGTTGTGGTTTCCGGCGATGGCAGCAGCATTGGTATAGGAGAGCAAGTGGGGAAGACCCAGCGGCTGCCCTTGGGGCAGGCAGCCCAGCCCCCCACCCTGGCCTGTCGGTTTACAGAGAGACAGACGTTACATACCCAGCTCCACTGATGCGTGGTCACCAGTGACCAGACAAGCTAATCGATGCAATGCATCTTGTTTCAGATACAGAAATATAGAGAAGATATTTATTGAGATTTAAGTTATTGTTATTTATTACCATTCACTAATGAATTTCTCTCTCTTCCCTTATTTATTAAAGTTTCTTTTCAAAGGTGCCAAAGTATATGTGCTCGCAAAATGCAAAGATAGGTGACAAAAGGAAATTTTAATGGGGGACGAGGGTCCAGACTTTTCAAAGTATTAACAAGTTTTTCACTAGGCAAAAATCACTTACTTTACCTTTTAAGAAAATCCCAAATCCCAGTAGCTTCCTTAGGTTTCAGCTTTTTCCTTTCTTTTTTTTTTTTTTTTTTTTTTTTTTTTAATATGTCAGAAGGAGCATCCCAGACCCTCTGTGTTCCCAGGAGAGCTGTGCAGGGGCAGGGGCACTGGGCTTGATTTCTCCAAGGCCTCACCACCAAAAATATTCACCATGAGTCAGTCCACTTTCT